ATTACGGCGAGGGTCAGCCATTTGCATAAGAATGGACGATTAAGTGAAAGAGATAAACCCAAGGCTAGTTCCTGTGAATCGGCTGCCGTGTCTGGAATCCCAAACAGGAGGTGTTTATTTCTTTTTCTCTTTTTCTCTTTTCCTACCCCACCTCTGCAGAATTAGCCTCCTGCATCATGAATTTCTTTACTCGATAATCGCCCCAGCCCTCACGGTGTTGATTACTTTCTCAGTGCAAGGGTTACTAAAATATTGCAGTAATCCTGTCTGCCTGAAGCCCCGACAACACTCAATCTGAGGCTCGCTAAAGAAAGAAATCTATGGCTTGTCAGTGGGGAGGGCATGTGGCGGTGTGCTGGGGGAGAGGAGGGGGGGAGGAAAGTTGTTGTGGTCAAACATGAATTGGTTGTCATTTACAAAACTGAACCTCACGCACCACATCTTTCAAATGTTACAATAAAAACATTCCTGTGCATGACTAAATGTTTAAATGCACACGTCAACGGGTCTTTTATCATTTAAAACAAGTTTCATGCTTTTAAGACGAAAAAAGTGCTGCAAAACTATTGATTATGATTAATTGTATTCGTTCGTGCCTCATTGAAATGCATAAGGATCTTTAAATAACACGCCTTGCGCTCACGCAGCCTATTAGAATGCACATTTTGATCCAAAAAGCAGCTTCCTACACGAGTCAATATGAAGAGAATTTAGCATAGATGGATTGTTTGTTATGATACTATCCAGGGCACAGAGGAATGAAGGGGTGGGGGGGTGGGGGGCAGATTTATACAGGAAGTGGGCACTTTCTGGTGCCTTCATTGTAACGCCGAAGCACACACACAGACACCTCACACCACTGACCTGTGCTGCATCTGGAAACAATTACACTCATGTTTGACTTGACCTGCCTGAACCAAGCTGAACTCTTGCCAACTTTTTCATGCATTTGTTGCAGGGGGCAGTGGTGACCCCGACACAGTGGCTGTGGGGGGAATGATGTGTAATTAGCCCGAGGGAACACATCTCCACTTGTTTGAAATAAAACATCACAAATGCACATCAGTTGAATCAGTTTAAGGCGTACACAGAGAGGAAAATAAAAGAGAGAGAGATCGACTTGATATGCTATCAACTGACCTACCAAGAAATTTGTGAGGACATGATGAGCGTTTGAATTATCGAGCATCTCAGGCTAGCAACGGCGGAGCTTTCATGTGCGGACTGAAAAAGCAGACTGTGGATGATGCAATGTTTCATTTCTACACTTTAGGAGGCTGTCAGGACAGCACATGCAATATTAAGCAGTGTCGTGTCGGTGTATCAACCGGTCTAAATTAACCCATTAGTATGCTACGGGGCAAAGCGGAAAGATCAATGCATGAAACGGTTTGGAAATCTCCTTTGATACGAGATTTACCAGCTTGAGCGAATTGACGAAATTCCTCTCGAAACACAGGCAACCATTTCACACGCCAGACTTTTCTCAAGACCGAGACTAATGTATTTTGTCCATTAAAGTGAGGCTGCATCGCTGCATCTCACGGAGGCTGGAGTGCAGTTTTCAAACTGTTTGGATGAAAGAAAACTGATTAAAAGTACCGTATTTTCCGCCGTACATGTCGCACCACCGTATAAGTCGCTTCGGTCCAAAAATGTCTAATAAAGTGGAAAAATCCATAAATATGTTGCTTTGCTATATACGTCGCATCTATTATACGTCACCGTTGACACTTTGCGTTTGTTGCACGTCACCACTGACAACTCGGAAATGTGGGCCGGTGTTGTGCCAAAAATCAATTGGCTGCCAATTGGCGGCTGTGGGAGCATGCACGGGAGGAGTTTAACAAGAATTTAACAAGATTAACACTTAAAAATAATTATTTGTTTGCTTGAAATTATAGTAAAGGTGCGTCTCAGTCTAATAAATGTACTTTGACGGTCAAATCAGCTGTATTTCCAAAGCCGGTGCACAGAAGTAGGAATAATTTACTTAATAAATGCACTTTAATGGTCAAATTAGCTGCATTTCGCCGAGGCGGTGCAGCGAAACAAAGCTGATTTGACGGTTGCTCCAAGCGAGCTGGACAAAGATGGCTGGCTATGGCAAAACGATTGTCAAGAGTAGCCACTTTTACCTGTTACATGATACAATGGCATGCCATACTCTTCAAGTGCCATCAAGTGGTCGAAAATGGTAGTGTTCAACATTTTCAGTCAGATTGAATGAAAGCGGTCATATCGCAGCCAAAAATTAGTTTGTAAATATGGGAAAAAACATCCATAAATAAGTCGCTTCGGTGAATAAGTTGCTGGGCATAAAATTTATGCAAAACACTGCGACTTACAGGCTGAAAAATACGGTAGTTCTAAATCTAACTAGAGATTATTTTTTTCTTCATATAACATGCAGAAACTCTGATTCTACACAATCAACAAAGGGCACTTCTTACACTTTCAGGAGTAATTACCAACAACCTAAGGCAGCAGACTTCATTGCTGTTATTAAACGGTGTGGAAACACTGCACAGTATTGCTGTGTGAGGCTGCAAACAAGGGAACCTCTCTCATGAGGAAACGCTATTCTGGAATACGTGTTCTTCAGACGACACATTAGGCATGTTTAAAAAGCTTGAAGTGAATCAGTTCAGCTGTAAACCACGTACACCAAAAATACAGGCTTAGGAAGATGGGATTAGAGAAAGGGGTCAACACAGATTAAAATCCTCAAGTGAACTTTAACCACTGTGCATTCCTATTGATTTAAGCAAACGTTGCAGTGTGAGAAGGTCGCCTTGAAGTTAAGATTAGCACTTTAAAACAAAAACAAACAACATTCAAACATGTGCAAAATAAATCCACAAATAGGTGATGCAAGAATATTCTACATAGATATGAAATCTGACCGAGTCAGCCCAACGAAAAGAAACATTTTCTGCTCTGCAAAACAAATTAAGAGCATTTTGCTATTTTTATGGTTTCATAAATGATTTTTTTTTTCCTCTTGGAAATAAAATGTACTCAAGTTTATTTATGTGCTCTGACTAAAATAGTACTTGCTGACATATTGTGCATTGCCACTCCCCTGTCCTAGAACAACCTCCTTGTCTCTGTGCCCAGGTTCAGCACTCATTTCCTGAGCTGACCGTCTACTCCAATTATCAAGCCAATAAAGGCCCCCCCTTGTGCAGTTATGGGAACGGGGAAGGGAGTCAGGTACTGCATGAGGGGGTTCCACGTTGGTAAGTGTGTGTGATGGCTGCTGCCCACATACTGGAAGGTGTGACTAATGGTCTTGGACAGTGTTGAGACAGCACTGCTACGGCAGTCACCTGAGCAGGTTTAGAACTTACTGAAGGAGTGAATCTCCTGGCCTGAGCTGTCAGGCGCACCAGACTACTGTTTGTGTGACTACAAAAAAGACATCGTTCAACTGGAGCATATTCTATATGTAAAGGAATTGTTCCAAAAGTTGTCTAAATCATTGATAAATGAATGTTTGAGGCCTAGCATCCCTTAAATGAATGTGCTTTGTTATGCTGAGAAGAAGAAGAACAAAAAAAAGATAGAGCCATTTTGGTCAATCTCATGGAAAATTGTAAGATGTATGTGATATGAATGATTCTCCGTTACTACTACATGAAATTTTAAATCAATATTTGTTAAACTTACTGGCCTATAGCCGTTTTTTTTATATTAGAGTTTTGCTTCTCAGCCAAGAAGAAAGAGTCCGATAGGAATATTTTCGCCTCCAATTCCTTCATGTGTCGTTTCACCACTTTTTGTCTGTCTAAACAGATCTCACTTGTAAATGAGTCTTCTAGGCTCAATGTGACTTATCTGTCAGAATAAAGGTTGAATGAATTTTTGTGTTGACTAATGCCAATTATCTGTGGCAGCTATCTTGAGTTAGATTAACTCTGAAATTTAATCAGTTGTGGATGTACAGTATTCCCTCATTTATCACGGGGATCTGTACCCTGAAAATCCGCGATAAGTGAAAAACCTTACACACACACACACACACACACACACTTATATATATATATATATATATATATGGTTTTTAAAACCTTCCCATACGCTTGCAATATTCCAAACAATGTTTCTGAACTCTCAACGCTCTAAAAGAGCACAGAATGTCATGATTTCAGCTCCCTGTTTCACCACCTGCAAGTGTTCCTGGCCACGCCCACTTCTCTGCTCTGCACAGAGAACAGCTGATCAGCTGCAGCAGGAAGCTTATCCTGCAGTAAGGGCTGCACAAAGGGGTAGCAAGTGCTAAATAAATTTAAATTATTTATTTGAAATAAAAATGTCATGCTGATCGTGCAGCTCATCCGTCAATCAGCCAGTTGTGTGTCATGTCCAATCTTATTTTGAAAAGACGACGATAAAGCGAGTCTGCGATAAACGAACCGCGAAGTAGCGAGGGACTACTGTACATCCAAAATTTACTTTCGAAAAGTTTTTTTTTAAAATTATTATTATTGTCCAATGAGATATTTTGAAAACAGACAAACATGGCTGACTCCAAAAGTTATTACCAAAGCTTTAAACAAAGATCTTGTGAACTGTGTTTTGTGGGTGAATCTCAGCTACAACCACATCATTTTAGGTCAATATCTGTAGAACTGACCAACAATTTTTGTGTTCTTTTTATGTGAATTGGTTTTCATCTTGAATTAAGCTGGCTTTAAAAGTTATGCACACCCTGTTATTACTTTCTGCAAGTTTCATCACATTATTGTCCAACTGTTCAAAGGATATTGTTAAGACTGACATACAGACCAAAACACAGTTGCCCACCTAATAAAATCTACTTGTCCCTATAATACACTGACAAAGGTTTAAAGAAACAATGTGATGTCGCTTTTTGTAGCCAGTTCCATTTATGTGTGGAAATCCTGTATAGAGTATAAATATAAGTGGCACCGTGTTTAAATTAGTAAAACATGTCAAGGACAATACAAGAAGACTATAAAGATAGATGAGCTTACCTGTGCTGCTCCACAGCTTCATTATCTGGTAACTCTGCACCGCAAACGTTGCAGCGCTCATGCTGGTTCCTGCCATCTGGTTTCATGCCCACTGCCAGCTCCCCCAATTTGCTGAAGAATTCTCTCTGAATGAAGCTTTGGGGCAGGAGTCCACCGTATGTACTAAAGTCCATGGACATAGCCAGGGCAGGGGATATGGGGAGAGCGGAGGCCATGGACACCGGCATAGACATCATACCATCTGATTTATGATTGACAGGTAAGGAGTATAGTGAGGCCAGGTGTTTCTCTGTCATCCCTGCCATCGCTTCTAGCCCCATCTGGCTCATTTCAGCTTGCTGGTCGCCCATGCCGTCGTCGCGGACGTAGTGCAGTTCCCGAGCGCTGGTGATCACGCTGCTTCTGGTTGGCGTTCCGGGACCCTCTCGATTCCTGTCCTCCCCACTTCGCTCCCCATTGCTGGAGGCACTGGACTCCATATTCTGAGGGCTGTCGTGGCCGTTGCCACCCATGTCCACCTGCATCGACTCAGTCTTGATCTCAGTCATTAGGTGGTGGGAGTTGCCACCTCCAAAGCCCTGCTGAAGCAGAGTCTGACCGATGCTCATCAGACTGTCCACGGCAGCTTTGGTAGGACTCAGGCTGGAGATATGGAAAGAAGTGGAGACGGAGGGACTCTGTTCCACGATGCCAGTCATGTTGGAGACTTGCTGGGTACCTGACAGATAGGAACTCTCCATGGAATGCTTTTTAGAGATTTTGGCTCCGTTTTGGCCCTTGCGCTCCTCGTCCTCCTCTGTGCTGCCATCGTTAGCACTTGCCTCGACGTCATTCTCGTCAGACGACTGGATGGTTTCCAGGATTTTGAGGCATTGCTCTTCCAAATACTCAATCTCTAAGATCTCTGCTGCATACAGAAGATCATCCAAGTCCTCCACCTTGGCCTGGAGCGTGGCAGTGTAAGCATACTCCAAAATCTGCTGAAAAGTCTTTGGTGAAAGAAAGTCCAGGGTGTAATGCTGGCTACTGCGGTGGAAGAGGATTTCAAACATTTTGCTGGTGCAGGCTAGCACAGTCCGGTGAGCATGAAACTCCTGGCTGTCGACCATGATGACAACATCGCACAGAGTGCCAGCCAGGCGCATCTGGTTGGCCTTCTGCAGCAGGGCAGTGGGATGGTTGGGGTTCTGGAGCTGAATCATACCCACTTTACTTAAATCCATTATGGCGAAGCAATTCACGAGGCCGACTCATGAGGCTTGCTTTCCCCGCTCAGGAGAGATTTTAGCTGTCTTTGTAAACGCGTTGAAACCTGCAGAGAAAAGCAGGAAAATGCATAAGAAAAAATATCTTGGGGAGAAAAATATATATACACACTACTGTATTCACATCAAGTGGCATTCATTTAAACAAAAGCATAAAGGAACGTTTAAAAGAATTCATGTCCTCAATCTATAGGATCATTAACCGAGTTTTAAAATGTGTGTATTTAATTAACAATGAAGATATTCACCATAGCACAATTTATTATGTAAATTGCCAATGTGATGTCACTCAAGTCTCAAATTGCAAATATCCTGCAGGGACGGTAAACAGTCTGCGCCGTAGCATTGTTCTAAACATCAGCAAAGGGTGTTGACAGTATTTTCTGAAGGGGGACAATTTGTTAGCTGTCCAACAGGTTCATCCTGCATACCAATCAGCCCAACATATGTTGCGTTAAAAAGATGTCTTCATTTGCTTGGGGACGTACACCAGCGAAACAAGAGTGAATTGTGGGCTTTTCACTGCTGCTTGGCTCGCAAAGACCGTCAGCAGCCCTTTCTGAAATTAAATAGCATCTTACTCAGTATTCTCATCACAGACAGGAGCAGAGAGCAGTGGCCAGAAATGGGTGGAGGAAAAAAAAGAAAGCAGGATGAGGCAAAAAGCACACAACAGTGCTGCACTTAACACCCCGCTCTGCCCTCAGCCTCTAATGCTGAAAATCTCAAATGAATGAGCATCTCTGTGACTGCTGGTAATTTCATTATTCAAGCTAACGGGGCAACGCGTTGCTCCACCTCATTACTAAAGCATGTTTGACCCACGCTAAATAATGAGAACAGGTTCAGATTAAATTAGCAGCCTACACCACCAGATGCACTTTTCTTGTTTTGTCATGGCCAAACATAAAACGAAACGCAGAAATCCTGAATTAAATCAAATAGCGCAGGTTAAAAGTTGTAGTTTTCCAGTTGCATTGCAATTCCGAAATGCAGGTATGCGCGCAATGTAAACAAAACACTTGTTGGAATCTGTCGAAACCACTTTTTGAAGCTTGAAGCTTGTCGTACATTAGGCTGACAAATGACGAGCACGGAATCTCAGAAGATGTTTAGGTGGAAAGATAACACTGTTTGTTGCTAAATGCAAAAGAAAGATTAACACAACTGTCACCATTAAATGTCAGCGATCAAGCAGGGTGGTGGAGCACTATAAAAGAAAGAGCACAGCATTCAAGCACAAACAGCTTTCGCAAAACTTCTGCTGGACGGGTAAGTTTAAATCCATTTTCCGTCCCTTTGGCTGTTCCTGTAAACAAACACACCTAGTTCCAGTCACACAATTTGCATAGAATGTTAAAAATAAAATGACACAGTGACTATTGGCATGTCAAAAAAATTTGGAGCGGATCTGTGAATTTTCTTTGACCGGTTCTCGCAGCTCATTTTTTTATTCCGACAACACAAAATGGAAATAACAGAGACAAAAAGCACAACTGGTTAAACACGTTCTGCTCAGTCGATGAACTTTATGACAGCATTTGATCAGTTCATTCACTTCTGATGCTCAAAGTCTACGTTCTGCACGAAAATTATCTGAAAAAAAACAGACTTTTACTTTCAGAACCGTAACCTGAACTGTAAGAGCAACAAAGGTTCTAAAAGAGATAAGTTTGACAAATCACCTGCTTGAAACTGGAATTACTCCTTAAAGAGGAAATAAAAGGATCCTCCAGATAAACTGCTTTATTTTCTCTCCTATTCAATGTATTTTGTACACTTGAACCACGAAGTGTGCGCTTTTATCAGACAAAAACAATCCTGTAAGATGAAGAAATGATGATTTGTTTTTGATTACAAAAAAAAAAGTGCAGCTCTAATTTATTCCTATGCACTTGTATATTTTAAGATCTACATTGATCCATAGTCATTCACTCATATTTTAGTATGTCGTCCTGATACATGCTCAATAATCCAGATAAATCTAAGCAGGTTAGTTTCTTGTTATTATTGTTAATGTGTACATCCTGTTTGCCTGTATGCAGCATGAGGGACAAATAAAGGTTTATTCTATTCCTGTGCTTTTATGGTCGTCTCTGGAACACTGACAGGAAAATGATGAAACCCCAACTTTTCCACCAACTAACATCTGTCAACAGAGATGATCTGCCTCCAATTATCTTTATAACGTGTTTGCCAATAGCTCCGATTTATTGTCGCGTAAATGATCGATGGCTGTTGCGCTGTGTGCGTTTCAAGCCGGGACGCGATCATGATATAGAAGTTCCGAATCAGGCACTTTGTCTGGTCTCTATTAATAAAAATAAATAACGGAGCGTCTAGACAGCGCGCGGACAGGGGGGCAAAGCCGCCGCAGACATATTTATACACGGTGCATTATGCAAAAGAGCAGAGACTACATTAAGTACATTAGTGGAGACTCTCCCTCGGGGACAATATGGATCGCTGACAATGACCACATTAAGCAGACTTCACAGGAAAAAAAAAATAAAAAAAGGGGGGGAAGAGGCAACATGATCGATCTGATCACGAGCTGCGCGCCTTGACGCGGCAGCCACGAGAAGCAGCAGCGTTCAATAATCATCCACACCTACGAGACAACAAACCAGGACAAGCAGAGACACAGTCTGAGGAGGAGGAGAAGAAGAAGTACAGAGGAGCTGCAGAGCAGCCGGGATCATCAGCGCGCGCAGGTGGACCGAGTTAGGACTAATTTAAAGGCTGGGACAGCAGCTGCACGCGCAGGTACGGTCTCCACCGTGAGGATGAAGAGGAAAAGAAAAGGGGGAAGAGAAAGATCAGACACGTTCAATAACAAACCAGTGACCCTGCACAAACACACACAACTCACTGTGCGCTGCGCGTGCAAGTCGATTATTGATAACCAATCACACATGCAGTAAGCTGTCAGTCAACTGTGGTCTGACAGCGCAGGCTTGTTTGGTGTCTTCAGTCATCATCATGATGTCATCACGGCCAACAGAAGCCAAACTGGTGCGTCTGGAAACACAAGGACGAGCCTGAAAATGGCACAGTTACCATTAAAGAACTGGAGCAGATTTGTCCGCGAAAGTGACGCGCGCCGCGGCGTCATGTGCTGTCTGGCTCCGGGTGAAGACAGCCCAGACCTCACGTCCTCTTGACTGCGAGCTCCAGAATACTAACCAGACATGAGAGAGGAGGGGGGGCTTACGTCAACCTTACGACAGGCGAGCGTGCGTGAAGGCAAACTTCGACACCTTGCAGCGCAAATCAGCCAAACACTTGTTTTCAGCCAGAAAAGTCGGGCGCGCGGCTCCAACTCCGCGTTGCGCAGCTGGTAACTTCAGCAGCGCATGGGGTTGAGCGAGGACACGCAGAAACGCGGCCAGGAGCGCTCCAAAACGCACGCAAACACCCATATGGTGAATGAAAGTCCGCTGAATAAACAGAGGGAGACGCGCGCACGGACGCGGCTCTGGTGCCACTTGTCGCCGGGAAGCTGCAGCCGCGTTCAGGCCGGCTGGTACTCACCCAAGTTGCACGCTTGGACTCCGTATAGTGGACGGGGATTGGGGCTACAGCATAGTAAGGCAGTTCGCAGTACCCGCTCTCTCTCAACGCGCACTAACTCCTTTCTTCTCTCGCCTTAGCAAATCAACACGGAGCTGACGTCAACGCAGCCAGTCAGCCAGACGAGCAGCAGGCGGGCAGCCGCCGCTGCGCTCCACTCTGTCCAAACACTGAGGAAGTGAGACACCTAGGGGGCTGTGTCTTGTCAAACGGCTGTCTTTACTGTAGGACAGTGAAAGGTGAGGGACACTGCACCCCTCTGTGCAGCTGTGTGACCCAAGGTGCAGCAGCAAACTGTTGTCAGACTCCTGCCAGGGACGGACTGAGCAGTTTAGTGGCCCTGTGGAGTGGGGGAGTGCAGAACTGGAGCCATGTTCCTGACTTAGGAATTTCTGCCCACCCCAACATTGTCCCGGCTCACGCTGAAGTTTACTGAGGACAGAACAAATGAACTGAGGCTGATGAGGCCGTTTTGTGGAGCATCTGTGTCCAACAATCCATGATTAAAACAAACATTGTCAAAAGTTTGGTGGTTATTCACAACTGGTTCTCCTTTAGAAACGGCTTCAGTCGTGATTTGAAATTATTACAGTCAGAAATTAATTTCAGATCTGCAGGAAGGGAATTCCGCACATTAATCCTCATAAAGGAAAATCTGTTTGACCGAAGGGAGTTTTATAAAAAAAACAACTCTACATTTGTGGTTGCCAGAAAAACAAAACAAAAAAAAAAAACATTTTATACATTTATTTTTTATTTTTTTTTACAATTATATTTTCATCCGGGGCAGCACGGTGGCACAACTGATAGAGCTGCTGCCTCTCAGCGAGCAGGTCCCTGGTTCAAATCCCGGTCCGGGGACCTTTCTGGGTGGACTTGGCATGTTCTCTCCGTGCGTGTGTGGGTTTTCTCCGGGTACTCTGGGTTTCCTCCCACAGACCAAAAACATGCATGATTGATTGGTAACTCTAAATTGTCCCTAGGTGTGAGTGAGAGCGTGAATGGTTGTTTGTCTCTATGTGTCCCTGTGATGGACTGGAGACCTGTCCAGGGTGTACCCCGCCCCTCTCTCAATGATTGCTGGACATGGGCACCGGCGACCCCCGTGACCCAAAAATGGAAGAAGTGGGTAAAAGATAATGGATGGATGGAAATTTTCATCCAGACTATTCTAGCTGTTGAGTGTGGGTGTCCTTTGTCTTTCATACAGATTGGGGGTGGGTTCGGGAGGGGTGGTGGGTGAACTTTCTAGGTCAACAGGTGAGGGAGGGAGCGTGGTGAAGTGCATGTGCAATTGGTGAACATGCAAAAAGAAGGTGGAGAAGGTCGGCTCCTGGCCAGCAACACATGGTCAGAAGTTCATGTAAAAAAAAATAAAAACCTACAGTAGGTAGATTTATTATATCGGTGCACAGAAATGCCAAAACTGCAGCATATTTGGGCATTTTAAA